TGTATGAAATAAAAGAAGGAGTAGTAATTTAAGTAATTTACAAAAAGGATATAAATGGATGTTTTTGTGAAGGCAATGTGAAAATATGAGATGTTATTATAATTAAGACAACTTTTCACATCTCAAACAGTCACTCGATAAAATTAAAAAGAGTATATCCGAGTAGAGATAAAAAAATTAGAGTAGTAGAAATTGAAACAGCTTCAAGTCATTATAAAATACCATTTTGAAACTTAGGTTTATCACCTATAAATAATTAATTTTTACATACTGATGCTTTAATTCTAGTGTTATAATGTGCATTTGTTACCTCATTATTACAATCGACAATAGAGTTATTGTTTCAATATTTTATTGTTAATTTGTTATTACATGATTGTATGTAATACACTGCAAGTCCTGGTGCCATGTTAAGAGGCAAAGCGCCACCTATATAAAAAGACGTGTGTTCACGCCGGCCACAGTCTGTTGCATTTGGATTTCTGCAGATTAAATATCCATTGAGTGCAATGTTAAATAAAGCCTGAAACAGTCCTAAATCAGCGAACTTATTTTTACATCAAACTATTTCTTTTGAGTAAGATAATATGAGCCAATGACCAATAGCTGAAGGAAAAAACAAATGCTATAAAGAAACATTAGCATGAAATTAGTCTTAAGCGTAATGGTGTACTTTAGAAACATCTAAACGGATACTCTGCGGATTCCGAGAGATCAAAATCCTCAAACTCTTATAGTCTTATGTGCCTTATAGTCTCGTTGTGACGTGCAGGTAACAAAGACTGCATTACAGTTTGTATTTGGGCTTGAGAAGAATGAATTTGTAGAGATTTATATCTGTTTTGAATAACCAGTTAAGTGTGTGCTTTCTTTCCTATATGCCTTCATTCCCCTAATTGTCAATGCCGGAATATTTAAATTTGAAGGAGGGACCATTAAGAGAAAGAATTTAAATACTGAGTTCTAAAAGAGAAAATTGGAAAGAGTGGGCAAGCATTGTATCTTTGTAGCATAAGCTTCTGATTCTGCACATATTCCTGGTTAAAGAGGCGTAATTACTATTTCTTTGTTGCCACTAGACTTCGACGCGGTTTTAGGTAACAGGATTATCTGAGCCCTGGGGAAAATTCTACTGTTTTGTTTAGTTCTTGTTAATTGATTTACTGCCCATTTGAGGCATAATTTATTAGCGACAAGTCGACGCATTGTGAATTTCAAAGAATCAAACAAAGGGGTTCTTTTAACCCTTCTTCTATCTGCTTCCTGCGATTACATCAGCTGTCACACTGAAAGCTTAACAGCTAGATATTACAAGTTATTAACGATATTACAAGTTATTATTATTATTTATAATTAAAGTCGTTATTAGCGACTTTAATTATAAATACCTTAAGTTATTATGGATATGGAGAAAGTTCACATCTCTATTATATCATCAAATATGAGTAGGATATTTTTCGCAGACTTACTACTTTAAGGAATATGTGAACTCAGTTATTTCTGGCATTATAAAACGTTTTTTAAACTTATACGTCCAACTAAATAAGACACAGTATAAATATTATGAACTTTAAAAAAATTAACATTTAACTGTAAAATTAAAAAAAGGCAATACTACTAAAAAGACTGATAATTACCTAATAGGCAATATAGAGAATTTATATTTGTTTCAAAAATTAAATAAGTGTATTTCTTAGAGGAAATTAAGATTTGTTTAATTTGCTTTACCATTTGAGGTCCACCAGCGGCTGAGCGGTAAAGTCGCTGAACACTGGTAGTTCGGTCCGAGGTTCGAATCCCGCGAACGGGCTGGCTGCATGGGCGTTTTCGTGGCTTTCCCCATGTGTAACGTGTATACGAGCCAGTTTTCCTTAGAAAGCCCTCCACGAAGGCATCCCTCCCCTTAGGCAGATAGTCCTCGAGGCTTTGCCATAACCACACACACACACTTTACCATTTGATTATTTGAGACACTTATTATTTAGTAACTTATATTTAATATCAGATTTCCACTGTTAAATTACCAGTTTAATGGATGTCTGAGTAATAATTTGTAAATTGTGCTATAAAATTATTTTAAAGTACTTAAGAATTTAGTAAAAATTATTTATCCGATTTTCGAATGGTCTAGCAGCTTTTGCAAAAATATTGATCGGTTGCTTTGAAAGATTCATTAATCATAATGCAGAGAGTTCTGCGTTTAAACATATAATTAGTAAATAGCGTGATGTTCAAGATTAAGTGCATTTAATTTAAGAAAGCATGTACTTTAAAATGAGTCCATGTTCCAATGCTCTCTCTTGAGGGCTTCGGAATATCTGTTGATAAGATGATAAACCAGTTATCAACTGAATTGTTACCGAATTAGAATGTTTTCAACTGAAATCAATATACTATTGTTTGCATATTTTATAAAAAAGCAATATTCTTTCTTTTTTAGCGTTAACATTTTTAACATTACTAATTTATCAGTTTATAAGAATATTAATTTTGTAGTTAACGTTATGTTTGTACTAAAGTTACCTTTCTTTTTAATTTTTTCTTTTTATACCTTTTAAATATTTAACACCTCTATAAAAAACCTTTTGTTCATTAGATACCCCGAGGTAATTTAACTTTCAGAACACATTACGTGCATTCGAAAGATTATTAGACATTGTAAAAAGAGAAACGTAACTTAAAAATGCTTTTTTACAGAATCGAATCTGACGAGCTGAGCTCTACATCACAAGGACACACCTGAGAATATCTGTTTATTGGTTGCTACAACGAGAGGCATGTTTCATGACTTAATAAATTTTCCAGTACAAATTTTGAAGAAACCTAAGAGTTCTTTTAAACGCGAACGAATACTGCATTAATTGTTATGCTAGTGCTTGATGATTGCAGATGCAACAATACGGTTAACAAAATTACCATTAAATCATTAATCACTTTTACTATTTTTCTACTTTATTTACACGAAAATTTATAAATTTGTTTCGGTTTTCACTTATTCCGTGTAGTATCCTACGCATTTTTGTTTTCCACGCTTCATTCCTTTATTTCCTTTGGTATTATTATTTTCCTTTTACTACTTTCCAGGTTCAATTCCTTTCTATGTACTTTATATTATATTTTATATTTTAGGAGAAACAAAAAATTAGGAAATCAAATCTCTCTTTATATTTCTCTTCCCCATATTTAGAATACCGAGTCATACAAATTTGCTGAACTCGTATGAATTTATTAAGAGTAAAGAATTTTAATACCGATTCGAGTAGTTATTCATGACATTTCGCGTGTAAGTAACTTGAGCATAATTTACAAGCCAAAGCAATATTATGCCAAGATAGTTTAATTTCCTTTCGTAAGGTAAGAAGAATTTTGGAAAGAGACGTTTCAGAATTTTTACCAATTTAGAAAGGTTATCACGTTTTCCGCCTCCAGACATCTAATCTTCAAAAAACCTACGAAGTTGAAAATAGCATAACACAATTCTTCTCCAAAATATTTTTCAATGTAAATAACATTCCTTAAAAGTAGATAAGAACAGAACGTGTTTTTCGAATGCATGCAGTTCCTTTCGAATCTAGAGCCAATCGTGTTATCCAATGTAATCTGAATATCTGAAATTTAATGCAGAACAGAAGCAGTCATGCCATTTGTCATCCATTTTCTGTGATTACGTATTGACCAGACAGCAAACCCGTTGCAAAAATTTATTACATAAACTGTTTCAGTCGTGTTCTCCATTTTCCTTTATGGTACGGTGAATCTCATTTTCTATATTTTACTGATTGTACTGTAATGTCACTCGATGAGGTGAACACTCTTTTTCTGATCCGGATTAATGTTAATTAATAAGAAATGGGTTTCACACAAATATACTGCTAATGGCGTAGAATAGCTATGTCTAGTAAAAGCTATTTGCCCGAAAATTTAGACGCAGTTTCATGCAATTGCTATAAACTTTCACACAAAATTTTGAATTATTTTTAACTGCATAGTTTATTTTCCAAAATCTAACTGCATAGTCATGGTTCAAATATTCAAAATGAACACAGGTAAAAATTCGCATATTTTTTTTAGCTAAAAATCAAAACATAGATTTTTTTTCCGTTATAGGACATTATGTGTCACACTCTGCAGAAAGTTGCATACGGCAGTATATTGCTTGTTGAATAGTGTTAAAGTAATTATCTTGTTCTTATCTCTTATAACAGTTACTTTTTCAAAGTTAATATAAAGAATAAAAGATTTTTAAGCCTTTTTTTAGTTTTTCATTATTCTTTGAAACAACTAACTGAACTTATACATTGCATATTTAATATCAGATTTATTTAGTAGCATATGTTTAGTCAAACTTTTACAGAGCGCAGATGGACTACTGGTAAAAATATGAAGTGTCTAGTTATTTTGCTCCAGAAAAAACTGTTTCGTGCCTGCTTTTCTGTAATGGAGATGGTCCAATATTCTTTTCTTCTTTTTTATGAACATGATATTAAGTAAAAAAAAAAAATGTTTGACATTTTATAGAGCAATATTCTTAGAACAAAATTTGATAAATATTTTGTTGTTAAAATGTAATAAATTTTCCTTTTGCTTTATAACCTTAGCTAAATGTAACTAATTTATGCAGAATTTTCATGTGGACCACATGCGAAATGCATCTAAATTTAGTCTATACAAAATATTTTCTGTAACAGAAACCTATGCATTTCAAAAAGTCATCTCACTAAAATATCATCGCATATTTCTTTACTACCATTTACTTGGTATTTTATTTAATCCGATTTAGACCTGAAAGCATTTTCATTTCGAGATACAATGAGATGTTTGCGATCTAAACATTATTGACCACATGTTGAATTTTATTTCTTAGTCAATTCCTGGTTCAGAATAAAGCGCTAATGCGGGCACGTAATTACGAAACACTCCCATTACTTGCATAATGAAACATCCCTCGCAATTACCATCGTAAGATCATTGCCGCAATTACGAAACGCATTTGAAATTACCTGCAGGTATGACTGTGAAGACACAGGGTTCCTTCTGCATGCCCACCGAGTTCTTGCCCCAGCAGAGCAACGTGCCGTAATCATACTCTGTCCTCGGTATGTAAGTCGCAATGCTTCGGCTCTCCTCACTAGCAAATGACACCACTTCGATGCTCTCCACGGAATTATTAAATTTCCAGGTGAAATTCGCTTTGGATGGGTCCGCTTCCACTTCGCAAGACACTTTCACAGGTTCGTGTCTTGCCACGCCGTACAGTAGTTTCTGATCTGATTTGCAAACTGGCGCATCTGTGGGAGAACAAACACATATAGTGATTAAGTTTCATAATAAAAATATATTTTCATACGTATTCTTATTGTATATAACGATGGAAGCAAAATTAAATGAATACACGTAAAATGTGCTAAAATGTCCCATGTATAAATGAAATTTTAAAATACGTGCTTTTAAGACATCAGATGTTGTAGACGCAAAGAATAGCATAATACCTTTTTAATTTTTATGCATCAGATCAAGAATTTCATAATTGCTTAATTATGTACGCGTATAGATAGCCAGATAGATGATAATTTTCAGCTTCAATTATCATTCAAAAATCTAAACTGTATTTCTAATTATTTTGGAATGCAAAATATCCTTTTTATTTGCACTCTCTTGCAAATATTCTACTATCTGATTTATAAATTTCTATAAATGGAATATTTTATTTCCGTTACATTTCACTATCACAATCGAGTTCTTGACAATAAGATGTTTACTTTTGAAATAAAATTTCACGAAAAAAAGTACAACCTTGCATTGCTTCTTTTAATACTAATTTATTAATGGCAACAATGGCTACAAAATTTGATTTCTGATTTCCATGTTCAAAGATCAAGTTACGTTTTATGTAGCAAAACACAATCTTTATCTTATTCTCAATAATATTTACATTCATGAAAAAGAGGAATCTTAAAATTAACGCTCGTGTCCAACTTTACATGCAACTTGTTTGTTCAAAACAGTAAAAATATTATCTCTTTTAACTTAATTTTATTTTTAGAGAAAACTTTTAAAGAAAATAATGTCTTAACCCTGCAACAAAGAAATATTTCAGGTAAGTAAACTTAACAACACATGAAATTTCTTAAAAATCTTATTTATTCAGCGAAACATTTCGATGGAAACATCCAAATTATTCTTAGCATAAGCATTGAAAACTTTGCATTCATATATTAATTCATTTCAGTATAAAATAACATAAGAATGTAAAATTATTTATATTTGAAAGAAAAAAAATATCAAATACAAACAAAAGGAAATGAAATAGTAATACAAGTTTATTTCTTCTCACCGATGCACTGAATTTGGCTGATCAAATTTATTCTCATAGATTATTTTATAATTGCTTTTCTATGTGGATGTTATTCACTATTAAAAATACGAATTATATAGATATTAAATCCAGACAGATGCCTTCACGATTCCTTCCATGTAAAATAGCTTTTCCTAGTTATTAGTGTAATTTTGTATCCATTACTAACTGTTTTATGCCCTATCACATAATATTTTCTATTCATTGTATAACTTATCGCATTGTGGATGCAAAAGTTTCGCTGCATTTTCATGGATGCGATAAAGCTTATTAAATGTAGCTTTATTTTACCATTTAAATTTTATGAAGATAAGGTATTCAAAGTAGAAACGAAGTCTGCAAAATAATCGTCAATATTTTACTAATTTAAATGAAGAATGTAAAATTAATTAAGCCAGATAATTTTACGAACTATTAAATCTCATCTACATATATATTAATGCAAGAAATCATTGCACTCACACTGTACTCTAAGATACAGAGCTGCACTCTCTCCTCTGCCTTCAGAATTATCTGCCGTGCAAGTATACTTTCCACGATTACTCCTCTTAACGCTCTGTAACACCAGGGATTGATTACTAACGATGATGCCTGCAGACTTATTGGTATGTAACTCCCTATCTTCAAACCGCCATCCAATTTCCGAAACGGAAGGATTGGCTATGATGGCACATTCCAGATAAACGTCCTTGCCCTCCTGGATGTGAGAGTGCCGAAGCTTGCTGCCCAGTTTCAGAGTTAACTGCGGTACGTCTGAAAGAGAAAAAAGGAGAAAATATTTGTTAGGGAAATTGGCAGAGTTCTTCATAATAACATCTATGCCTATACGTATTTATTTAATAAGACATATTTGTAACACTTGAATTCTGAACTTTATATGCATGGAATTAATAATTAATTATTTCCTACTTCCTGGAACTACAAAAATGAAATTAATTACGTGATAGAATCAATTTATTAAGTTGAAAATCGCATACGTAATTCAAAAAATCACTAGACGGAAAAATTAAAAATGGTAGATAAAATACACTGTTTTACAAAAGAATCGAAGCGCCATGAAGGAAGTGGTTGTTTTGGATGAAATTGAATATGTGTATAGCTCATACACAGATAATAAAATAATTTAAAAATCAAGATCATAGTACCTGCTCGCGGCTCCACTGACCCACTGAGTGTTCAAATTGGTTGTTGTGTTGGTCAAACTGCCCCTCGCGGCAATGCATGCTTTAATTCGTCGAGGCAAGGAGTGGTAGAGGTTCCTAATGTCATCCTGCGACACATTCTGCTGGGCATTCATCAGTTGTCGTTCCACATATTTGTGGTGCCTGAAACTGGCTGCCTACCATATCGCAGACATGCTCGATTCGTGAAAGGTCTGGTGACCTTACTGCCCAAGGAAAAGTATCAAGCGCACGAACACAGTCCAGACATATGGGAGCAGTATGTGGCCTGGCATTATCTTGTTGGAAAATGGCCCCAGGATGACGTGCCATGAAGGGTAATGCAACCGCCCGCAGGATGGTATCCACATATTGTTGAGCTGTTAAATAACGGAGGATGACTAAAGATGACCTGCTGTCATAAGATGGTGCGCCCCACACCATCTAACCAGGGGTTATGTCTGTATGCCTTTGTAAAACAAAAGCTGATTGAGACCGCTGGGCCTATCCTCTACAGACGCGAACACGGTGGTCATCTGCTTCAAGAGTGAAGCAGGATTCATCGCTGAACACAATACGATGCCAGTCTGATGTCAGCCATGATGATAGGCTGCGACGCTACTCCTGACGTCTCCGCCGATGTTGTAGGGTCAAAGAAAAACGTCTTAAAGGCTTCTGTGAGCGTAATCCCGCCTCAGACAAGCGCCGTAAGATGATGGACGGTACCACAGGAGGTGTAGACCTGGCTGCAATGCGTTGATTAGTCGACAATTATACCGTTGGGGCTGTTCGACCCTGGCGAGCAATTATCCTATCTAGCCTCGCATTTGTGCTCCTTGGCCTTCCAGAACCTTCATTTCGTCGAAAATTTATTTTTAGCAACCATTAGCTCCAGGGAAGTTAGTTTGTTATAATAAAAATAATATGAAATTGGACTCCAAATCATTACTATCTTAAACGTTTTCTTCAGGTTTTTATCATAATATTGCTAATTAAATTAGAGGAAATGCATTTGCGGGTCGAATAAAATTGCTTCGGGGTCTCCATTCAGTTTGCGGACTGCCTACTTGTGATCATATACTTGAAAAATAGAGGCGAAAACTCTGACTGTGATGTGTCATCCTGACAACCTCATTTAATTTCTTGCAAGCCATAACGATTAAGATACGTGAAAAGATTCGATTTCCTATGTATAGTTCGAACTAGTGAAATGCAACTTTAGCTGGCATTGTGCCTAAGCACCTGATGTCCTCCAGAAAGGCTGTTAATTACGTGCCGCAGAGTGAAGAAGTTATACGAGAGTTTGCTCTTATCCGGAAAGAAGAAATTTCTGTTTTGGGTCATGTATTATTAAATTTGGATCTCGCTTTTTATTTTCTTATAATTATTGCTCAATAAATTTGCGAATACAATTTATATCTAAAGAGAAAATATAGGATTATAACACATAATGTTACATTCTGTTTTATTTATGCTATGTGTGGATACATTTGAAATAAATCTTAAAATGTCGACTTTCTTAAAATGACGAAAGGTTCTTTCCCTCATCTCATTTCATTTCATCTGAGTAAAAATCACTTTTACCTTTTTATCTCTGATTCTTGTTATACGTATTACTTCGAAAATATTAATCAATGACTTTATCAGCTTTCTGCACTTAAGATGTTAGCATCAAAGATGAAATATAACGCGGTATGATTTCTAATTTTTAATTAATTATTGTAAACTTTTTCTCACCAAGTTGGAAATTTAAATAATAAGAAATCTTGATAATCAAAAATGTTTACTTAATTAATCGTTTCAACCTATCTAAGTAATAATGATTTTAGAAAAAAACGCTTTTGCTGAAAAAAAGCAATTTGAAACGTTTAATGAAGTGATTATGGAAAAGGCGCTGAGGTTTTCTGAATAAGTTTTTTTCTTAGCCTATTGTTATTTATTATTTTATTGTAAGTAATTATCCTTTGCATCTTTTTCTGTCAAAGACAAATAGTTTAATGTTACAAGTATAATTAATTTCTGAAGATAAACTGTGTAGAGATGGCGTTTTAGTGCAGCTTTGAGTTTAAATTACAATTTATGGAAATAGCTTTGGAGATAGTTTTGCATTTATTAAAGCAGCCGATTTGTTTAATGATGGAGAAATTTCTAAACACGTGGAATAACCGGATATAATTTAATAAAATAAGGCGGATGTTTTCAGCATTAAATTTAAAAGAAATGCTTCATTACCGCTCTTTTTCATTGCAAGTTAAAATTTATCGTTTTGCATAGGAGAAAAATAATTATGTAGTAATGAAATGTATCAGCACTTTGCTGAATAATTCCATTAAAATTATTTCTAGTGGCGTTACAGAAATGTCAAAATTAATGAAAAATTAGAATTTTTTTTTAGCTTATGCATCAAACCAGAAGTATGTTTGAATTTCGATAACAGATTGCAGTGGATTCATTTACATACTCTTTCCTTGTGATCATTTTCGATTTAATGAAGTTTTTACTAGCATTTCGGGATAATTTTGCCTGCCCATTGCGAAATAGAATATGTAAGTGTGAACGAAAGATTAAATTTCATCCACAAAAGCTATATGTCTCAGTCAAGAAACGAGACTTTTTCAAAGTTTTTAGGGTTATATCTTAGAAATAGTTTGGTTACATGTGTATCAGAGATTTTCGTATTTAAACCTATCTTCTGAAAGCTAAATCAATGGAAACACTTAGCAATATATAACATTCTGCACTTTTTTGATAATCTAGTGTACTTTATCGTTTATATTTTTGAAACATTGACTAACGCATTTGTCATGAGTTAAATATACATTTCAGTAAAGGTTTATACGGTAATTAAAAAAAAAAAAAAAAAAACACAGAAACAGTTGAGCATTTGGAAATTACCTTTCATAAAACTGTAAATGATGCTAAATTTTACATCAGGTTAAAGAATATTAAAAACTGGATGCATGAAAATTAATAGAAATGAATTTCTTCCGCTGTTTTGTTTATTTTGGATGGTTTATTTCAAACTCAAACCATCCAAATAATACTTAATATTGGCTATGAGGGAATTTTATTAATTTCTTCATCTCTGTTCAGTTTCCCATTTCTTCAGAGAATATGATATGAAAATTTCGCATAGCTTGCCTTTAATTTTCAAACACTGTCTTCATTGCATTTTAAAATACATGTACAGGGTGATCAAAAAGTCAGTATAAATTTAAAAATCTTAATAAATCACGGTTAATTGTATTATATTGTAGATAGAGAGGTAAAAATTGACACACATACTTAGAATGACATGGGGTTTTATTAGAAAAGCAATAATCTGATCAGAAAAGCAATAATTAGCATAACAAATTAAGACAAAGCAAACATGATGTTCTTTACAGGAAATACTCAATATGTTTACCATCTTTCCTCAACAATAGCTGTAGTCGAGGAATAATGTTGTGAACAGCACTGTAAAGCATGTCCGGAGTTATGGTGAGGCATTGGCGTCAGATGTTGTCTTTCAGAATCCCTAGAGATGTCGGTCGATCACAATACACGTGCGACTTCAGGTAACCCCAAAGCCAATAATCGCACGGACTGAGGTCTGGGGACCTGGGAGGCCAAGCATGGCGAAAGTGACGGCTGAGCACACGATCATCACCAAACGACGCGCGCAAGAGATCTTTCACGCGTCTAGCAATATGGGGTGGAGCGCCATCCTGCATAAAATCATACATTTTTTAAACTTTTTTGGGGTTCTGATAAAACCCCATGTCATTCTAAGTATGTGTGTCAAATTTTACCTCTCTATCTACATTATTCCGTGATTTATTAAGTTTTCAAATTTATACTGACTTTTTGATCACCCGGTATATTTAATAATTATACACATTTCCATGATACTTACAATGGACGTCTACCTTCCATTCATCTGCAATTGAACTGCCAGGTATAAGCATGTTTTCTGCTCTGCAAGTTATATTTTTACCTCTGTCTTCTATCGTAGGTATGAAAGTTAATCTTCCTGTTGTAATATTTCCTTCTGAAGATATCTTTTCTTTGGTTCCTTTAAGAGGCAATCGACCAATTGTCCATGTGATATTGGCTGGCGGTCTGGAACCACCTGCCCTGCACACGAGCTCTACAGGTTTTTGTGCAGACAGAGCCCGGTTTTTATCTTCAATATGAACCTGGTGGCACTGAAAAAAAGAATGATAAAATATATAATTTGTAATTAATTTAGCTCAGTTTGTTTACAGAATGTTTGAAAAATAAAGGAAAATAGTAGTTGCAAATATTTGATGAAAGCTAACATATGACAAAATAGAATGGCGTATTTCTTTATAAGAACATAATGCGAAACAACAAAAGACGTCTAGTTATCTCGTCGTGAAGTTATTTTCGATAATCTAGAATTTAATTTTTTGCTTTTGTTGTGAATGTGCATATCATGTTGCTTAGATCGGAATGGAACTACGGAAGTAAAGAAAATTGTTACATAAATTAAAAAAAAAAAAAAAAAAAAAAAAAAAAAAAAAAAAAAAACATTATAATTATTGGTGAGCTATGAAACTTTTAACAAAGGACTTGCACATTTGTAATATTAGACAAAATCAAAATATCAAATTTAAGTTAAATGCTCTATTTATTTACAAAAGCAGATAATACAAATAGCTGTTCATAGGAAATGCTTTAAATATATATATATACTCATAAAATATCACAGAAATTACATAAAGTATTGAGTAAATTTAATTATCTGGCACAATTTATGCCAAAAGCTACCATGCATTATTTTTTTCTTTATTTAAAGCCGAGATATGATTTTTTAGGATAGTTTGAAGTTTAGGATTAAAATATCTTAAAAGATTTCTACTTAAAGAGATTATCGTTCAGTCTAAAATGCTTTAAAATTAAAGAGAAAATCTTGCATCTTCCATTTTTAACGAAAAATAACGAGATTTCAGCCCACCGACTTGAAGTTAAACTGTTTGATATCCAAAACTACATTTATTATAAACCGACGGCATTTTGGAGCCCATATTTAAATTGTGGGCTCTCTCTTATATATATGAACTAAAATTAACTTGGACGAAAGCCTAATTCAAAAAAAGATAACCAAACAGAAAAACAACATACTTCAATATTAGATATAATTTAACGTACTTCATAGCTCAACAAAAGTTATCGACATTTCTTGATTCGTTTCAGTTCGGCCCACTAGCGGCCGAGCGGTAAAGTCGCTGAACACTGATAGTTCAGTCCGAGGTTCGAATTCCGCGAACGGGCTAGCTGCATGGGCGCTTTCGTGGTTTTCCCCATGTGTAACGTGTATTCGAGCCAGTTTTCCGTAGAACGTCCTCCACGAAGGCATCCCTCCCCTTAGGCAGATAGCCCTATTATGCTTTGCCGTAATGAAACCAACCAACCAACGTTTCAGTTCAGTCATAGGAAAACATTTCTTAATGTCTGATTTCATATGAGTGAATATAATAACATTATTTCTAGTGAATGTAACAAGCAGTAGAAAATACATACTATATTAAAATACATATTTTCATCAAATAGTTTAAAAACTGGTAAGTAATATATTAAATATTTTTATTATTAATTCGTAGAAACAATTTTAACAATGTATTCTTTTAAAAGGCAAGGTAATTATGTGAAGAAAGACATGTGGTTGTTATAAACAGATAATGAAAAGGGTACATATTCAAATCAAATTTGTTTTTAATTATGTATCAAAAGTTAAAAAAGAAGAAAGAAAGACCAAATAAAAAAAATAAAATAGAGGATTAAATAAAATCTGAAAGGTTTCAGATTTTAAATTAAGTCCAAAGGGGCGTTTTTTTAACCTTTTATGTGTTACCTTTATTTATTGAATGTCATGTTCTACGTACTCAAACCATAAAATTCAGTTCAAGAGCAATATCGCGAAATAATTTCAAATTGAGCCTATCTTTAGAATTTCCGGTACGCAGTCTCACGCTCTGGAGATAACAATGCTTTTTGTCTTCTACGTTCCCTTTGCTCAATTTGAAAACGTTGATTTTGTTAACCAAAAATTCGTTGAAGTGTTACAAAATATGAAGTCGATAATAAAACAAATTTCATATTCAAATTAGGGCTTCCACATGCCCATACTCTATGGAAGATTACGTTACTGAAATTTTTGATCGCTCTTGGTAGTGTTTTTTTTTTTATCATAATGCGAAAAACTTGCATACATTCATGCAAATTCTTCATTATTTAATTTCTTTAAATATAATACAGGAAGATAATATTTGGTGGCAACAATTTAAAACTTGAAATAACGCTTATCGTGAATCGACGCAAAATGCCAAAACGAAATTAATAGTCCTTCTGGGAAAACTGGATTCCTAAAATAATAGAAATTGCATTTCATGTTATATATAGCAACGATGAACGATAAAACTCGAATGCTTTATTATGTCGGACAAGAAAGAAGAAGTTTCAGAGTAACATTTACATAATAGTCTAGATAAGATAAACATCTATAAAAATATTTTGAATTACTTTAAGAAAATCCTTTTAACTGTTTGTTTGCAAGTAATGTTTGTAGGAATTATTCGTATATTTACTTGTACTGCATAGTCATTGCACTGCAACTGAAGTATGCTATCATATATATGGATTTAATTGGGAATTAAAACAGTACTGTTTAAATTTAACAGTTCTATTATAATTCCCACTTAAAATGTCAAAGATCTAATTTATGGAAATATTTTATAAATAGAAGACAAATAATAATGATTTATTCTCATAAATTGCAAGGTGTTTTTATGACAAAAATAATGAACACTTATCTCAACAATGATAAAATACAAAGAAGAGACTGAAAGAGGTATTTATTTAAAATCTAAAAAGTATATTTATTTCTAAATTTCAAAGTATAAGATGTTTAACTAGTAGAGAAAGCTTTCATCTTGCAGTATTTTTACTTTTATCAATAGTTAACTTACATATTAATTACGCTGAGGGAAAAATTAAAAATTGTATCTACTCTAGTCCCTCTTTCGTGAGTTAAACTTATGAAACAGATTTAGTATACTATAAGTCATATTTAATTAATGATTTATGAAATGATTCCCTTTATGTAATTTTTACTTCGTGAGAAATTAAATCTCGCATAACTTAGGTAAATAATTCTATTAAAGAGTGGTGCCGATACAAGCATTAGCTCTTCGCGAAGTACCATTGCCTACCTGAAAGAATTCGAAAGCCTTTTCACAGACACATCGATTTTGCAGTGGGAAAATCCAGGTGCCTTATTCAAAGACGCTTAAAAGATGAAGACTATTTGAAGAGAAAGGAATGAAAAGTTTCCAAATAAGTTCTTTCCAAAAGATTCTGTTTGGCATCGTCAGCTTTTCCACTATTTGCGATATGTATTTATGACTTAAGCCATTTGTATGCTGGGATAGATATAAGCAGTCTGCAGTTCTGTCTATAATTTGTCACTTCTGTAAACGCGCATTTTTATAGATTATTCAATACATGATATTTTAAGTTTTATAATACATTTTATTTTTAAAAAATAATGTTACGTTTTGTAATATACTTGTATGTTTATTTTTTGTTAATGATATAATCACCTTCAGTATGAATGACGTTTTACCATCGAGTAGGCAAATTTTTAATTTCGAAGCAGCAAATCAAAGATAATTCTTGATAATAAAGTTTGAAAAATCCATTTTTGATCTCTTACACATTTTGAATTTTTATTCACTCAAGAACTGTTGAAAAGAGGTGATTGAATGGCAGTTGGAGGGTGCGATATCAGACAAATAATTTGAGTAATGTAACACTTCCCTTCTCTCTTCTTTTATCTGCAGTCTTTCTTTCATAACGTGGTCTTGAACTGTCATATAGTTGGATGACAGCTGTTCCGTTAAAAACTGTTGGATATCTTTCAATCAAAACTAGTTTTATTCGATCTATCTTTGACTATATAGTATATCTAGAGTTATGGCTTGATTCAGTGATATTGTGATGCACTGGTGATGCCAGGCCATATTTAAATCTGGGCTACAGACCCAGCCATGGGAGCAGTTGGTATGTGAAAGGACTGTCCATTTTATAACTATAATCAACTGTTCAGTATCGTACGACTGTTCCCGGAACAGAAAAGCGTGAACGAAAACGAAAGCCTAGGCTTAGGGCTCGGGCAGCAGATTTACTGGTTTATGTAAACGCAGAAAAAATGAAGGACTACCTGAAAGTTACAAAGTTTTGAGAAAATTTCAGCCAACTTCAGAAGCTTGTTTATAGAATTACATTTAGGCAGCAATGGAAAATTTTAAAATTATATACAGTTCGCAAGTAGATTGAGAGCAAACTGAAATTTTTATTGTGAATATTAAAAAGGTGAGAGATTTTAACATGCTGAATGAATTAATAGTTAGTGACAAGTTACCGAATGCGTTAGATTTGGAAACGCGGAGTATGCAAGAATCACAAAGATCTGGTTCAAACGAAAACAAGTTGTTGAACTTCGTGATAATTTGCTTACTTTAAAGGGTAAAATTTCCTCAGAAGTATATAAAAGATTTACGCGGAACCTTAATCAGGAAGAAACAGGAGTTATGAATCATGGTAATAGGAAATAGGTGTCACATACTATGAGAAATAATTTTAACACTAGAAATCAGTATGAGCTTTGTAAGTAAACTGTACATTTACGTTCCTGTTTGAAAAAAGAGAGGGATAAAATGCCAGCTTAGCAAAATCAAATAAAGAGTCCCCTTGATAGAACAAAAAATACCCGCAAGAACACAAATTAATCGCGAGAGTTAAAATAGGATATCTTGATAATGATGTAATTGATACACGTACAATCTTTACAGTATATGCAGATTTGGTTGGAAAGGCGAGAAATCAGAACACATTTAGACAGTCCAGCAAATACGCCAGTTATTAATTTAAACCATATACCACTATCCTATAAAAAATAAAGATTATTCTAAAATGCAGTTGATATCAGAGTTTGGAGATAAAATGAAGCCGGATTAAAAAAAAAAAAAAAAAAACTTGCGTATTTCTTTAAAACGAGACACCAATTGTTCATGCAATAGAGTAACTGTATTATTTTCCATTACAGATAAGTTAATTGTGTCTTATATTTTAACTCCAAATATTTATAAGTTGTTGTTAGCGGCGAATACGAAGG